GCAACAGCAATAGCAACAGCAGCGGCGCCAACAGCAACAACAACAACAACAACAACAGCAGCTCCAATGCCAGTGACAACTCAGGCGCCACGGTCATCTATCTGAGTCCAGAGAAACGTGAGCCGCGCGGCTGTGGCAACGGACCGGGCAGCGATATGAATAGGTGCGTTCCGATTGAAATTATTTTACTCACTCGCTCACACCCTCTCCCTCTCTCTCACTCTCACTCTCTCCACAGATGGAGCAATCCCGTTTTGGATCGTCTAACCGGTGGCATTTGCTCCGCGAATTCAACACAGCCAACACAGCAGCAACAACAACAACAACATCAACAGCAACAGCAGCAGCAATCGCAGTCGCAGTCGCAGCAGCGTCGCTTGCCGCCCACGCCCCTGGGCGGCAACAGCGGCGCCTTGCGCAACGAGAGCTACTACATGGCCACCAATGACAACTGGTCGCCGGCGCCGCTGCAGCTGCTCAATGGGCATGGCAACACGGCGCTGCTCATTGAGGACGATGCGGAGCCCATGTCACCGTAAGTTGTCAGCGCGCCCTCCCTCTCCTTCACTCTCTCGCTCAACTCTTGGATTTCGTTTATTTGCAGCACGCTGCCGGTGCGCACACACGATGGCCAGCACTGCAACACGAGCAGCGCCAACACATCGCAGACGAGCGTCGGGATGGGACAGACGAGCGGCGTGGCAGCGCCAGCCGTGGCTGGTAATTTCGATGCCACGTATTCCTCGCAGCTGAGCCTGGAGACGAACAATTCCGGTGTGGAGCACTTTTCGCGCGATGCGCTCGGCCGACGCAGCATCTCCGAGAAGCATCACGCGGCGCTGGATGCACGCGAGACGGGCACCTATCAGCGCAACAAGAAGCTGCGTGAGGAGCGGGAGCGGGAACGTCGCATTCAGCTAACCAAATCGGCTGTCTATGGGGGCTCCATTGAGTCGCTGACGGCGCGCATAGCCAGCGCCAATGCCCAAATGGCGGCAGCAGCGGCTGGGTATAAGCACGCCAAGACCAGCTCCCACATCGAGCAGCGGGAACAGCAGCAGCAGCTGCTGCTGGCCGCCGAAGCAGAGGCGCGCGATCAACTGGGCGATCTGGGCCCATCGCTGGGGCTGAAGAAGTCGTCGTCGCTGGAGTCGCTGCAGACGATGGTGCAGGAGCTGCAAATGTCGGATGAGCCGCGCTCACATCATGCGCTGCGTGCGCCACGTGGACGCGGACGTGAGGATAGTCTGCGCGCCGCCGTCGTCAGCGAACCGGATGCAAACAGTGAGCAGCCGCAATTGCAGCTATAAATCAGCCAGAATTGACTAACGCAATGTTCTCTCCCATTCGCTTTCAGAGCCGCGCAAGACCTGGCTGCTGGAGGAGGGCGATCACGAGGGCGGCTTTGCCTCGCAGCGCAACGGGCCGTTCCAGAGCTCCCTCAACGATGGCAAGCACGGCAGCAAGTCGCGCGCCAAGAAGCCGAGCATCCTACGAGGCATCGGGCACATGTTCCGCTTCGGCAAGAACCGCAAGGATGGCGTTGTGCCCGTTGACACATATGCCACGTCTGCAATTGGTTCAACGGCGCAGCCCATGAATGGCCAGTCGCAGCAGCAGCAGCACCAACAGCAGCAGCATCAATTGCAACAGCAGCAGCAGCAGCAGATACCAGCTGCAGCGCTTGCTGCACTGGAGCGCAATGGCAAGCCGCCAGCGTATCAGCCACCGCCACCACTGCCCGCACCCAATGCAGCGGGTGGCGGTGGTGCAGTGGGGCCTGGACGCGACTCAGCTGCTGCCACACTGAATGGTGGCATACACCAGAATGACATATTCAATCATCGCTATCAGCATTACGCGAACTATGAAGACCTGCACCAGCATCAGATTAGGTGAGCTGGGCTTGGGGCTTGCTTGCATTTACCTCACCCCCCATTGTGTTCATTTATGTATATATAAAGTGGTGCTGGCTCTAACTAACTTTCTGCATGTTGAATTATGTAAAAGTCAAGATATCGAGATGCATATTCAGGTATATTCTGCATAGATAGTGTGGCAAGTGCTGAGTAAACTTGGGCTCGAAATTGATACTGCATATATGTCTGAGTACTTGGAAATCTGATTGAATTTAGTGTCGTATATTGTATATAAGCCTGGTTTATATAGTAATTCTGATTTGTACATATACAAATGTCTAATAACATTTACTGAAGAGTTTTGTAAGACATTTTTCTAAAACGATTTTCGAGAAATGAATTTTTTTTTTTAAATTTTAGCTTGTAATGAAATTTTAGGGTATGTCGAATTATTATTTGGGTTTTATAATAACGTAGGAAAATACAGTCGAATCCGGTTATAGCATCCGTATGACTCGATAAAAATTTCTGGTCCCCAGACAAACTTATATGAGTAAACTTATACAGTTATAACGTCATCCGGTCCGTTATAATCGGATTCTACTGTATTATGATTTAAATAAATTAATTTAATGTCCGCATATTTAAGGTATTCTAGGAAATTTTACAGAATTGAACTAAAAGCTCATACTCCTAGCTACTAAATCTTAGAATTTAAAAAATTTAAATTTAAGATTAAAATTTTTATCATACATATGAGACTAAATTCAATGTACGCAGAGTATATAGTAAAAATATTATAAACTATTTTTATTAATTTACAACTAAATTCAGTGCCCGTTGACTTTTGGCTTAGAAGCAACTGGCATAAATTTTCACTCAGGTTTTTCTAGGTTTTATCTAAAGGAGCTTTTTCAATTTATATGTACATATTTCACTCAAAATTGTCTCTATTTATGTGTTTAGCACTGTTCGATGTGTATATGTGTATTGTTATTAACCCGTYGCTCTGTTTCATGTCTCTCTCTCTCTTTCTCTTTCTACTCTGTGCACACCGTGTCATGTACATGTATATGTATGTCTCTCTTACCTGTTCATACTGTTCATACACACCACTACACGACCACTCACACACGACAACACGAACCCATCGCATCGTCCCACTACATGCTCATACCCTATAATTAATGCATTAACCAACACTGGACACACGACAGCGACAGCGTTCAAGAGACGCTCTCGGAGTCGACGCTCGAGTGCATGCGACAGCAGGTGATCAGGCAGCGCATCAAGGTCGAGGCCGAAAGGTAACGGTAATACACATACTAACACACAGCTATGGTTTGGCTTAGTATATGTCTCACACACACACACACATACATTCAAACACTCATATGTGCTAAGCTCATTTCTCCATTTGTATTATATGCGAACTTTGCCTTTTGCGCTTTTGCAGTCGCCGCCATCAGCATTACCATTCGCAGCGCAGCGCCCGCTCCCAGGACATCAGCATGCACTCCAATTCCAGCGGCCAGCAGCCACCGTTGCCGCTGCCCCCGTCGGCGGCCGCCGTTGCCGCTGGCCATCCGCAGTCGAACGGCATGCGGCCAATGAGCAGCTACTACGAGTACGACACGGTGCAGCAGCAGCGCGTGGGCAGCATCAAGCACAGCCACAGCCACAGCCACAGTCACAGCCACAGCCATGGCCACAATCACAGCGGGCACCACAACGGCGGCAATGCCACGTCGTCGCCCATCAGCGTGAATGTGGCGCAGCCCCACTGGAAGGCAGCGGCGCTCAACGGCTACTCGCCGGCATCGTTGAACAGCAGCGCCCGCAGCCGTGGACCGTTCGTCACCCAGGTGACCATTCGGGAGCAGACCGGCATGCAGCAGGCGCAGACACAGTCACCGTCGCAGTCGCAGTCGCAGCAACCCACCTACCAGACCGTGCAGAAGATGGCGACAGCGCAGTCGCAGTCGCAATACGGCAGCGCTGCCGGCGCCCAGCCGCATGCGTCGAAGGTGTGACTATAGGTGCTGGCGCATGCGCGCGCCACACGCGACGTCCTCGTGGAGGGCCACCAGCACAGCCAGCACTCGGAGCTGAGCGAGGTGGAGGTCTTCTACTATGCCACCGAGTGCTGACTGGCCAGACAGGCAGACAGCCAGACAGCCAGGTAGCCAGGCAGCCAGGAGGAGACAGACAGGTCGCAGTGTGCGAGTCGCCAGCGGCCGGCAGAACAAGCAATCAACTGGAAAGCAGTTTAAATTCTTTTTTTTTTTTTAACACATTTATAATTAATATATAAATACAT